ATTGAGGTTACTTGGAATAATTGGGGCAAGAAGCTAGATTCATTTTGGAAAAAATGCTTTAGCCTAACTCATTTGAATACGTTGACCTGTGGTGACCTGACCTAGTCAGGCACTTATAATGCTGGGACCAAGGACCTTCCTAATGTCTTTGTTTTTTGACAGTGAATAGAATGGTTTATTTTTCGAAAATCACAGCACAAAGAGGGGACTCTGGAAAGCAGATGTATCCATGTTGCCGTTAGGTATCCAGAAGGAGAAAGCACAGGAACTGCCCAAGGAGGCCTCTTCTCTTCTTTGTGCCATAATATCACCAACACTCCTTCCAGAGGAAAGAACCCCACGCCCAGCAGGAGAATGAGGTCTTTGTTCAGTCAAGTAAGGGACATTTACTGAGTGGCCTTTCTGTAGCATGCATTTGGTGATGAACAATTCACGTATAGGTATGTATCACAAATACCTTTGTCTTGCTTCTGCCAGGGCCGTGGGAGGTTGGAGTGCAGACCGCTTTAGGTGGGGGGCAGAGTACGTTGGGGAGGACCTGGACCTGGGGAGACATTAAGTTAGACTCTGAAGGCTGGATGGGATCTAAACTGAGGAGTTGGAAGAGGGGAACCGAATACATGGAAAAACGTACTGTAGAGAGTGAGAGAGTGTTAGCACTGGGAATAGCAAAATGTCTGGGAACTTGACTGGATCAGTCTGGAAGGGAGATTCATGCAGAAACTGAGTGCAGGATAAATCAGAAGTGTGGGTACTGGAGGCAGGAACACCAAGAAGGGATTGGTTCTGATCCATCTAGAGGCTTGATGATAGGAATCTGGGTCAAGACCATGGCAGTGAGCATGGAAGAGAGAGGGAGATGGGCAGAAAAGATGGCGGACTGGATGGGGAGACAAAGGAGGAAGGACACTCAAAGAAGAGATTTTAGCACTTGAGAATAATTCGTACCGACTGTGGAAGAATGGAGACAAAGGAGACTTGTTGATGGTGGCCGTGAAGACCCCAAAAGGGAGGAAGAGACAGTGGGTCTCTGGATGAGCACATCTACCACATTTACGAGTCCTGTCCCTCATGTCACAGGATGCTGGAAGGTGTACGTTTCTCGACCTTGAACAAGGGAGAAAGGCTGGACTTCCATTCAGCAGACATTGTCAGGTGCTTGGGTGCCCCTCTACCAGGGGAGAGAGGAACACGGTATGTTCCTTGTTCCTGGTTCCCAGTCCACTGTAGAGGCAGACATATTTTAAGTTCTTAAAAATTCACAGAGCCAACAGCCTGTAGGCCCCTCAGCCTTTGGGTACCATCAACGATACATAACGTGGCAGCCAGTTCCACTGTGCCTGTAGGAAGCACTCAACCAGACTGGGGGAGAGCCCGAGACCGGTCCCGAGAGAAGAGAGCTGAGTGGCAAGGGCCACCTTGCTCTGAGTTCCACACTGCGGTCTCAGCAAAGATGGACTCAGCAGATAGCTATGTGAGGGTCCCCACCTCCCGTTTCCTCTGAGAAGCAGCCAGCCTTACGAACCAACACGTACCCTGTCCCCGCACACCTACCACGCACACTCTTGGCAACGGCAAGGAGGCAACGGACGGAGACCAACTCGGTTGACCAGATTGAATTTCCCAGGTACCAGGGCCACGAGGCAGACAGAGGCTTGGTGGTCAGGAGCAGCAGGGGCAGTACGAGAAGCGGGGACCAGGGACAGGCTGGGACTGCAGAGATCTGCGAGATGCCCGCGGCAGATGCAGGGGAGAGCAGGTTGTGGGGATGGTGGCCTTCCAACCAGCGCCAGTGTGGACAGAGGCCAACTGACGAGATGCCTTCTTCTCATGGATACTGGACGCACTGAGATGATCCCTGCCGCCACCACAGAAGAAAGAAGGCGTCCCTAAACTACAGCAAAGGCCGATTTATCTGAGTCTACCATGAACTCAGATGAACTTCACACCACAAGGTAGACTATGGATTCTAGAAGACTGATTGATTTTAATGTTTTTTCATTTTGGAGAGAGAGACTGAGCACGAGCAGGGGAGGGGCACAGAGAGAGAGGAAGACACAGAATCCAAAGCAGGCTCCAGGCTCTGAGCGGTCAGCACAGAGCCGGACGCGGGGCTCGAGCCCAAGTTGGATGCTTAACTGACTGAGCCACCCAGGCACCCCCTCGAGAAAGGATTTAAATGTTACTCTTTTGCAGACCTGAGTCTGTGCACGTGGACCGCTGCAGTGTGGTATGCCAGAGGCAGACGGAGCCCCGGGTGCCTTCTAGGACAGGTGAGCCATCTGAGGAGGCCAGGGTGGGCGAGGAGTCAGTCACACTGAGCCCCGGGACTGTCGGCTAAAGGAGAGCAATGGGAAAGCAAGGGGAACCGAGCTCGGGGACCAAACCTGAAGTCCCTTCACATCCGGGGCACTGGGATTCCTGAGGGTTCTAAGAGAAGCGACATGACCCCATTTTCATTTAGAATCACCATTCTGGGTCTGTGTAAAGAAAGGCCGGGCATTGGCGAACTCTGGGATCCCTGCTTCTGGAAGCCACGTTTTTCATTCTCTCTCCTATCGTACCTGTGTCCCTAACATCACACTGATTCGAATCACTCCGACAGGAGGTGCAGGAGGAAAGGCATTTCTTTCCAGATTTTATAAAGTGACGATCAGCGGCAAGCCCAGGATGGGGGTCTGGGAAGTCAGTTACTGCTTAGTATCGAAATTGGCGGAGTTTCAATAGCCTGAGTCTTGGTTAGAGAAGCCAGAATAAACTGGCGTGGTATTTAGCACATACAAAGGTTTCCTACACAGACGTGCACACATAATCCTTATTCAGTGTTGACTGAGCATGAAAAGAAACTGAGAAATGTGCCTACTTTTATTTACACAGTTTACTTAAAAGCGGTGGTTCACATGCTCCGTGTCGCCTGTCCTCTGACGGAGGTTGGGCTGGGGGTGCCCTGGGCAGCCCAGTTCTGTGGGGGGTCTTTGTGACGTGTTCCTGTACCCCCTCCCTGCATCTGCTTCCTCTGTCCTCTCGATGATTCAGTAAGCCACTGGCTACTTTATAACAAATTCCCTTCTAGGACTGGAGAGGATTTTGCTTTCTATGTGCTGACCACCACAGGTCAAATGCATACTTTAAAAAAAAAAAAAATCAAATACACAGCGGTTAAGATCACGGCCTCTGAAGGCCGCCTGCCTGCTACCTGACCTGAGACAGATGTATTCGGCCTTACGGGCTCTGGCTTCCTCTCTGTTAGATAACAAGGTTGGTGGCGGGGGGGTCCTGTTTCGGAGTTGGGACGAAGAATACAAATGGTGCTTGCAACAACGCCCGACCCACAGTAATTGCTCGAATGCTTGTTTTTAGAATATGAAAATATATAGGTTAAGATTATAACCACCAAGTTAAAAATTTGTCAGGGCGCCTGGTGGCTCCGTCGATAAAGCATCCAACCCTGGTTTCAGCTCAGGTCGTGATCTCGTGGTTTCGTGAGTTCAAGCCCGGGGGGGGGGGG